CTTAAGGCAAAAAAACACCCCTGACTGTCCTTCACCTGCACGGCTGTGATTTGCTACTAGAGGCTTGGTGAGCAGAGGCAGGACTAGGAGCTACAGGCAGTATCGGCTTGCTGTAGCCCTGGAGGTCGTAGTACCTCCCACCATTGCCTGGATCTACTCATTGCTTGAGCTCCGAGGGGCCCAACCCTTTTTTTCCCCCAGAGCCCTCTTCCCTGTGCCACCCCCGGCCAGGCTGCTGGCCAGTCGGGTGGTGCCTGAACTCCGAAAAGGATCGGGCTCCATGGCAGACTCTTCTGTGTGCAAAAAGTCCCACTGAAGTTAGAGAGATCTCTGTGTGTGAAGCTAGGCCTAAGGCACGCACCTAAGACACCTTAAAGTGAAATGACAAAGGATGGAGAGAGAAGGGAAGAATGGGATTTCCAGAGGTCTTCAAGCGAATCAAACCACAGGTGCACGATGTGGACACACTCCCCCCTTTTGCTGGGAAAACAAAACAAAAATCCCTTCATAAAGCGTAAAGAATAATTATTCACATTGACAGCTGCCAAATTAATGGCACATTATGCAGCATATTCAATGAGACAAGCCCCAGCGGGAACAGGAGAAGTTAGCTAGCCATCACTGCTTTCAAAAGGTGTTCTTGAAAAATGATTTATGCCTTCTTTTAGCATATCACAGAAGTAAACCACCCTGTTGCATACCTGCAGCAGTATTAAAAACGCGTTTCTCAGGGCAAACTGCTGCAGCGGCTGGGGTTTTTAAAAGGGACGAAGATTCATGGGGCTCCACATTGAACCAGCATCCCGCGGGGTGGGCTATTGCTGTGCAAGTCACATCTACACCTCCGCTTCCTAGAGCAGTGGGAACCAACCTTTTTAGCCCTGAACACTCCCTGAGTATCACTTCGATCCCTGCCAGGCCTGCTGCTCTGCTTTCTGCTCCCAGCCCTATGCTTCCAGCTTTCTTCCCTGTATTCCCTGCCTGATTTTCTGCTCTGTTTTCTTTTTCCTGCCTTTGCTGCTGCTGTGCTGCCTGCCCTCTCCCCCGTCTGCTGCGTGCCACACACAGGCTGTCAAGGCACCCGTGCTGCAGGTTGCCCCCCTCCTTCGCCTGGGTCTAGAGCAGTGATTCTCAACTGGGGTTACACAAGATCCTTTTAAGGGTGTTAAAGCACCTAGCCAGCTCATCTTCTTGCTTTTTCCATGCTTCCAGGGCTGGCTCCTGAGATAGTCAGGCCTGAGTGTCAGTGATGGAAGTGAGCAGGTCTGTCCTCTCCCAGCAGCCCTGGACCATGTCCTATATGGCCCCGGAGGTGGGGTTCAGGGGATATGACCCTAAGGCAACTAATAGGGCAGAAATTAGCAGTGATCTGGAACCATGTGTGGGATCTCCACGTGCTGGATTGGGAGCAAGCTCACGTGGAGCCACACGGAGCCAAGGGTGCACTCCCTGCTGGCAGCCTGGAGGGGTGAATACTACACTTCTATCGTCTATTCTATTACCATATAGTACTGAATTATAAAATATTATTCAAAAAATATGAATCATTTAACTTTAATGTTTATATTATAATAGCCATACTATCTTTATACTAGTTTTTTGAATAGGAGTCTTGCTAAATCCTGAAAAGTTAGAGGGGTCCCTAGAGTCTAGGGTTGAAAACCACGGTTGTAAGGAAGAATAAAACAGACCACCAAAACAGAATAGTGGCAGACAAGATTCTTTGGGTAAAGCTGATATCTTTTATGTCTGCCTATGTCCTTAGACCAGGGGTGGGCAAAATGCAGCCCAGGGGCCAGATGTGGCCCACCAGGCCATTCTATCTGGCCTGCGGGGCCCCTAAAAAATTTAGAAAATTAATATTTATCTGCCCTGGGCTGCCTGTCATGCAGCCCTTGATCGCTTGCCAAAACTCAGTTAAGCAGCCCTCCGCGCAAAATAATTGCCCACCCCTGCCTTAGACCAACACGGCTACAACCTGTACCCCAGGAAAACAGAACAGCAGCGTTCTTTGCCTACTTCTCACAGAGGCAATAGATGTAGCATGTGTGGCAGAAAGCTACCTTGGTTTCTCCCCAAAAATCTCTGCCCTGTGACACTGTGATTTAAATCTCTGTGCTGTGACCATTCAGTTAGGATGGGCCCAGCACACAGGGGACCACACCCTCAGCCTGTCTCTTTAGGGAACTGGAGCTGGCTGCATTCCTGAGGGAGGGGGAAACCTGCTCCCTCTGCCTACGTGACTTGCATCACTTACCTGGGTAAGGGGTTTCTACCTGGGGAGCTGGAATCTGCCCGGTAACAGGTGATGCATTTCAGATTGGTTGGCTGACAGCCAACTGGGGCTGACCTCCGCTGGCCCAGGTGAATGAGGTCACAGGGGCTATATAAGTTAGGACGGGGAAGGAGGCGGTCTCTCCTCTCCGGCCATGAGGTGACGCAGCAGCCAGGCAGGGGACAGAGAAGCCTTAACATCTGAAACTGGCTCTCTCCCCCCAAACTCACGAGCTAGGAACCGCCTGCCTCCAAAGGGAAACTTCACCTGCCTTTGGAAGATGCTTGTGAGTAAGCTACTCAATCTGATTAGATATTTAGCTGGAAGTATCACAGATGCGTAATCAAAAGGCTACCACAGCCAGACTGTTTGCTCTTTAGGATTTCTAGATATTGCTCTATCCTGTACCCTAGTTTACCCTACCCCCTGTAATCAATAAAGTTCTCCTTTTTGACTGGTGTGGGAGACTTATTGAGGGGTGGGTCTAAATTATGCCTAAGAGACCCCTTAGGTCTGTGGACTAAGGGAGACTATACCTTTTTGCCCCCGGACTTGGGGAAGTACCCCAAGTGCCTGTGCTGGGTTGAGTACCCGTGGGACTTTAGGCCTGTGTTACCCCAAGGACACAGGGCCGCGAGACAGTCCATTCTTGGGGTGGTGGCGGCACGTTACCCCCAGACTAGCGAGTGTGCTCCGGGAGAGGGGTCGGCCGGACATAAGGCGCCCCTAGGGAGGCATTCGGAGCCTGGAAGGTGGTCGGGCGCAGGGAGGTGGGTGGCTCAACGCAGGAGCACCCCCTACTGGCCCGCCTCACATGGTGGAAACAGCAGAGGGATACGAATACCCAGCTGTGTTCCTGAGGTGGGATCTCTGCACCCGCCACAGCATGTGACAAAGCACTGGAGATTCACACCCTTTAACAAGCTGAGTTTAATGATCAGCTGTAAATCATTTAATCTTTTTCTCCTCAACATCTTTTCCGGAGAATAGCTTTGCATGAGACAGTTGTTTTGTACCTAATCCAAAACCTGCTGAAATCGGGGGAAGACATCCATTGAAGCCTACTGAAGGATTTAGATCAGCTGGATTTTTTTTTTTAATTCTGTTTGCTGCTTTAGATAATGTTTAAAGGTACCCTCCCCTTTTACCTAAGATATAAAGTATAAAGTCTCCTCCACCTTCCCTCAAGCATCAGCACCTCTGTTGGCTAGAACAGGACCTGGGGCTCTATTCCCAATTCCTGCAATGAAGCCCTGTGAAAAGGACAAGTCATGAAACCTCCTCCTGCCTTGTTTTATCAATCTGTAAACAGGAGCACTGCTTACTCAACATGACTGATGCAAGGCTTCATTAATTACCTGTACAGCACTGACCGTTGAGTTCTCAAATCAAGAAGCCATAGCAAAAGTTTTGGGTATGTCCTCTTAATTGCTGGGTTTTTTAATGTGATGTGTTTAATTTAAAAAGAGGAAATTAAAAAACTTGTAATATTACCTTCTGCACAACTCAAGACCTGAGACCCCTTTGACTGTGTCTAACCTAGCCTGATATAATAAACATATTTACTGCCAATAACAACAGAGCTGTGAAAACCAGCCCCAACTCTATCTGCATTTATAAATAGAGGCGCCGAGTCACAAGTTTTAAACTTCCAACCAAAAATAAATTCTCTAAACTAAAAAGGATGAACTGTGAAGCTCAACAATCTGCTAAATGAAATGTAAATATTACATACTGGCAGTACAAAGTCCCTGCTGCTTTCACACTTGGCGAGAGGTACTGTGCTTCAGAGCATGCTAGGAAAAATGCAGGTCAAAACAACATGATTCCTACAGGAAAGCTTGCAAATTGGGCTAGCAGTTAGGTTTGTGGTCTGTAGGAGAGGAAACAGAGAAAGAGAGAGCTTGTTACACGTAACAGGGTAGTGAAGCACTGGAACAGGTGGTGGGATCTCCATCCTTAGAGATTAAGACCTGGGTAGACCAAGCCTTGGCCAGGATTATCTAGTTGGGGCTGGTCCTGCTTAGAGCAGGGGGTTGGACTAGAGGTGACCTCCTGAGGTCCCTTCCAGCCCTCGTTGCCTCTGATTCTGTGTGGTGCCACAGGGAAAGGAAAAGGGTAGCTCAACATATTGTCAAACTGACTGTCACCTTTCTAAACTAATGAATGAAGATGAAGAACTTGACATCTTTACAGGAGGTTTTTAAACTAAGAATTTGGGCAAAACACTGATCCTGCAAGCATGCATACACCGGAGTAGCTTTATACACATCAGCTGTTTCTTTGAATTCAACAGAGCTATTTGCATTTGTATGTGTGTGCAAGTTTCAGGGCCCAGAGAATAATTGCAAAGCCAGAAACACTCCTTAAACTTCAATGCAGTCACAACTGATGTAAGCTAATCGATGCCCCGAACATGTTAAGATTCACAGAGTTGATCGTAGGTGGGTCCTATTTTTAATTCCAATAGGGAAATAAGAGTAATGTTGTAATGTAGGTACCAACTCTGAGCTCGGGGCCGTATAATTATACAAATATCATCCCTGCTTGGAAAAGCTTTCAGACTAAAACCATCATCCTGCACAGATTTAAGCACGTGAATATCTTTTACAAGAGTATTCCCATTGAGTCTAAAGGTACTGACACTGAGCATATACGTAAGTGGTTGCAGGACCGGTCCCTCTGAGATATGGGGGAGAGAGCACATCCTCAAGACCACAAAGGAAAGAACAGCATCGAGGCTGGAGTTTTTAGTGCTGTTATTTATAAAAGTGAATAACATTTGGTGGGGGCCGAAGAAGCGTTCGAGAGGAATCTGATGAACTGACACAGGGAGTTTATGCCTAGGACATCAGATGGAAAAGCAAACAGACATGAGTGTGGGAGATGTCTTTCATTGCCTCCTGTCCTTGCTTAATGAGCGCTAGTCAGAATAGTCTCAGAACAAATAAGGACATTACAGAACCAAGCGCTGGGGCCGTTTCTCCTTGCTTATTATTACAACATTATAACAACAGTGATAATTGAGCCAGGACCTCAAAGTACGTCATACACATTAAGCAATCCTAGTATCAGTAGCAAGACACAGGTCGGTAAAATTATCCCCACTTGTAAAATGCTGAAACAGATGTACCTAGAAAGTAAGTTGACTTGCTCAAGGTCACAGTGCGAGTTGGCAGTGGACCAGGTATGGCCGTAGGACACAGACTTGCAAAGATATTTGGGCAGCTGATGATACAGATGGATCTGTAGTGGGGTTTAGTAAAGCATCGTAGCAGGCCGAGTGCATGCTGGAGATTCTCACCGATTTTGATGGGAGTTTGGTCCCTAATCATGAGGTACTTTTGAAAACCACACAAAGCATTTATCTACATATTTATATGGGCCAGTCAGCTACTTTGACATAAACCCAGAGCAACTCTACACACTTTAATCAATGCTAGTGTAACGGATCATCTCTTTTCGCACTTTTGCAAAGAGGTGTCCCACCTTGACGGTACAATGTAAAGAGCCATATCAACTATGCCTTCAGAATAATGGGGTGGGCAACTGTTATTTGTCGAGGATATCTACAGTCATATCATGTAATAACATTAAGTCTTTAGAATATTATTATTTTTATTTTTTGGCATATGGAGTTATTAGTTATATCTATGCATTGGTATATGGACACTCTGCTTCTACTTTACAGTGCCCAAAGCACCCTCAGCATAATTAGGTAATAGTTAAAATGTTAGTAAAAATCACACTAATTAACGTTTCTGTCTGATGATTCCTTTTTTGTATTATTTATTTTCATATATTTGCATGTCAAAGAACAACTTTTCACTTCTCAAAGAAACAGCTTCTATGAAAAGTTGCCTTGGAATGGAGTAGTTTCCCCTTCCCACTTAAACCAGAGTGTCGCATTAAATCCTCCTTAACAAAAAATAATTCCATAGTTTTACACTATAACTGACGTTATTATCAAGGCCTCCGAGCTTCAACATCTCAATTAAGTCTGTGAAACAGAAACATTAAAAAAGTCCCTGGAAGATCTGGGCACGTGGGGCTTCAAAAAAAAAAAAAGCCTGCATCGTTTCTAAGCCAGGAGCACCTAGGGAAATAATTTCTAGCTCTGGGAAAAGCAAAAATTACTTTTTAATAAAGTTATAAATAAATAACTTATTTTGGAGAAAGAAGAGCTCTTCAGAGTTAATCAGAAATGGATTTAGGAATATAATATTCTAGGATAGGCTTTTCCTTGCGTCAAGGGAGGAACCATGTGAAAAATCAGCGTTCAGGTTAGACTGAAGGGATCAGCACGATCAAGGCAAGATCTCAGCTAGTGCCAGTCCTCAAGGCTTGGTCTTCTTCCGCCCCGACGGGATGGGAGGTAGGACAGGTTTGGTGTCAGAGCCTGGCCGGTTTGTGACCTGGGGCACACGAGAACTGGACTTGGATCTGCTGGCTTTTTTCTCAAGACTGTCACTCGATGGTTCAGTGTCTGCAGGGATTTAAAAAAACGCCATCGATTAGTCAGTGCTGTGGAAGAAGCGAACGACGTCCCAAATATGTTTTAATCCCAGGTGTTCATCTTCCTCTGTAGCTCCCTTCCCCCCTCCCTCACAGTTCCCAGCATGGAGGAACATGTTTTCGAAGCTTTTGTGAGCTGGAGAATTTCAGTCCATTTAAATATTCACCTGTGAGCCATCCAAGTTACCTAGGCTAAACATTTGTAAAAGGCAGCGATGGCATGCAGCTGGGGCACCTGGCCCACTGCAAAGAACAAGGGGACAGGGTGCTGACCCAAATCCCATGAGGCACTGCAGTTTTTTGCTTTTTACTTTTTTGAAAGACAAGTCGTTTTTTGTTGTTGTGGACTAAAAACCCTTTTTTGTTGATGAAAAACAGTGTTGACAAACCATCTTCAACATTCCCTAGTGATTATCCTCATTCACAGAAGGGACATATTGATGTGTCTCTAAATTTAAGAACACCATTTGGGTTTTCTTAAGACGTGTACTATTAGCACCGCTGATATCAGTACGCTATAAAGACTGAGACAGGTATATCAAGTGTACGGCATTCACACTGCAATCATTCTCTGTCATGTAAAGACTTTTCTGACCAACTGAAATAAGGGTCGTTGTTAACATTAAGATGCACAAACAGGGTAACTGCAATGTCATCTCAGTGCAAATACACCACTATTATAATATCCTGATTAAAAGCCCAAGCAAAACCCCCCCAAAAACAAAACCTGAAAAGAAAGGTGGAAAACAATTCAAACCTTTCATATTTGCTATTCCATTCCCAATTCCTCCTATGTCTGTGTGCGCAGTGTTGGTGTCTTCAGGATACCTAGCACTGGGAGCTGGGGATGGGACAGACAGGCTTTCCATAGAGAATGCATGCGCCGAGGAGATTATGGATAACCCAGTACTGGTACATGACTCTTTGGAGCTGTGAAGAAAAATATGTATTCTTTAAATGCAATAAAGGCCATTTGCAGTGAACATGACAGTATTACTGATGTCACTGAAGTGACATTAATCCATCAGGAGCCTGCAATACATCAGACTGCTTACCAGTTACACAGCGCTTTACTTTCTCACACATTACAATCTCTTCAGCCCTCCTTCAGGGTTAGTAAACAAGCACTCCTCCCTCCACTTCAATTTTTAATTAATTTAATCAATCAATCATAGACAGGAAAAAATAACGAGGAGAGGATTCATGTCACAGTCAATCCGCTTCAGAGCTAGAACGAGAAATCAGAAGTTGCGTTTTCCGGTTCCACGTTCAACATCATACACCAAGTTGTCTGTTAGTGATTTTGGACTAAAATGGAGAGCTTAAGAATATTATCAATATCCAGTTGTTCAAAAGGTCACTGGCCAAGTTCATGAGACTTCAACATTGTCTAGAGACATCTAGATAAGAAAAAGAGGATGCTTTTGTGGCTGAACCGAGAGTCAGAAGATGTGGTTTCAGTACCCAGTGATTTCTCATGTTACCCTGAGCAAGTCATTTAGGGCCACATCTAGGATGACTCATGCCACAACACCCAGCTTTGAGGTTCCTGGCTCTCTAAGTGGAATCCAGATCCCAGAGTCAGATGCCAGCCTCCCTATCCAGGATACGAGGGAAGAGTTTATGACGGTTGCTCCTGGTTTTCCCCGGGACGCTTTGATGAATAGTTGTTTGCCTAGCCCCTCATGCTGTCCTCTGATATATTTGTAAGCAGCCACCAAATCATCCAAAGTCTTCTCTTTTCTGGGCTGAACAGTCCCATATCTGTCAGCCTTTCCTCATCCGGCTTGCTCTTCAGGCCTCTAATCATACGAGTGGCTCTTTTCTGGACTCTCTCCAGCTTCTCCACATCCTTCTTGAAGTGCGGTGCCCAGAACTGGATGTAGGACTCCAGCTGTGGCCTCACTAATGCCGAGTGGAGCAGGAGTATCACTTCCTTAGCTTTATTTGAGATGCATTGGTTGATGCATGACAGCATGTTGTTTGCTCTGCTAACTGAAGCATCACACTGGTGGCTTGTATTCATTTTACGGTCAATTATGACCCCCTTTCGGATGCGGTGCTAGCTAGCATAGGACCACCGAGCCTGTAAATTTGTTGCTGATTTTTCCTCCCCAGATGGAGCACTTTGCACTTCTCAGTGTTGAACAGCATCTGGTCCTGGTCCATCTAACTAATGTGCCCAGGTCTGCCTGGATCATCAGCCTGTTCTGATGAGTGGCCACACTTCCCCGCAGCTTAGTGTCATCGGTGAACTTTACCAGTGTGCTTTTCACCCCCACATCCAGATCATAAACGAAGATGTTGAAAAGCACTGGTCCAAGTACTGAACCCTGGGAGACCCCACTGGCTACCAAAGAAGGTGCTTCCCTGTATTCTTGGAAAGAAATGACCACCAGCCATTTAAATGGTAATAATAACACCCAGCATTTAGATAACAGCCTAGAAGTTAGGGCCCTCACCCAGAGAATTAGAGAACTCACTTCAATCTCCTCCTCCGCCTAAGGGGTTTCACACCCACATCTTCTACCTCCTAAGAGAGTGCTCTGACCACCAAAGCTGTGGTCTAGAGAATGGACTGTGAGAGGCACAGGGCCAGGAAAAGAGCAAGAAGAGGGAGTCAGGTCAGCAGGATAAGTGTTCAAGGCACAACATCCACTATTGCATTTGTTTCTATTGTGGAAAATATGGATGAAGGACAGTGCCTAAGCAGGCAGGTTGCCTCAGTGTCCAGGTGCGTAGAACCTGGCACCTGTAACAGCTGAATTTTTGGGAACAATCTGTTATGACTTAGCAGAGCTTTTAAAAATTAAAATGAAAATCAGAAGAAAGGTGGAGAGAAGTACATGCCAAAAAGAACAGAAAACAATCTTTTTACCAAGGGCCTGATTCTTCAATGGGAAGAGGCTGAGATCCTGGGAAGTGCTGCGTGCACACATCTTCCACTGCATTCAACTGGAAGTAGGGATGTTCACAACACCACATACTGCGCTACAAAGCAGTCCAATTAACCCTAACTGTACTCTCATTTCCATGTCTCATAATACCTACTAGATGAAACTGCAGCAGGGCTAAGAAATTGCTTCGAGGTAGAAAAATTACTTATAGGTTAAATAAGGACTTGTATGATTTGGATAGGGAGTTAGCTGGGGATGGTCCTGCCTTGAGCAGGGGGTTGGACGAGATGACCTCCAGAGGTCCCTTCCAGCCCAACTTCTCTATGATTTTATGATACTGAGAGTGATAAATACAGGCTCAGAACAAAGAGCAGCTTGGATTTTTTAAAAAACATCAATGCCAAAGCAAATACTAGCTTCTGAAGGGTCATTTACTTGTACGTCTGTTCTGAGATATGCAGCTCAGAGAACAGAGACTAAAAATAAAATAATCAGGTTGAAATGAACCCGGTGTTGATCTCTATACAGAGCACATGAATGCAGCACGTTGGAAAGCAACGCACCAGAGAGAGAACCGGTCGCTGTCACAGGTCATGTCTCACTCCAAAAAATGTTGCTGGTTTGGTCAGGTCAGCTGGGGCACGATCTACAACATTTCTGTACTGTCGTCATCATCATCTGACAAAGCTATAGCACAGATGTAAATCTGTCAGTGGAAAAGTGCTTTTGACAGCATAGGCTGTTTCTTATAGGATTATGCTGACAGATGAGCTCCTACCAGCATAACCTCTCTCTAAACTGGGACTTATATCAGTACATCCATGGGCAGATTTAGGATTTTGAAAAGGGGAATGCAGATTATGTGCTGCATCGTTACGTATAACAAAACACATATTTTGCCTCCAGTTAAAGTGAAACTATAAGCTTTAGTAATATGCTAGGGGACTAGCAAGATTCAGTTTAAGATCAAAGCAAAAACAAATGTACCTTTATTGGAACGTGCATTCATTTTCAAGATTATATTTTAAGTTTAAAAAACCCAGAGGCTAGGCAAAAAATGGTCCAAATAGTTAAATAGTGTTTCATTAGTCCTGTAAGTTATTATAGTTAATTCTACATTTCTTATTCAAATTTGTCAAACAAAATAAAAAGTCTTTTTAAGCATCTTGACAGTGCCTCTAATACTAAATGGTCAGTCATTTCTATATCTGAATTAATAGTACTAAACCTGAGTTAAAGAAATGCAAAAATCTAGAACTCTTGGTTCAGAAATGTTACCTTTTATTAGACCAAATCACAAAAAAATTCTTTTTCTACAAGCTTTCGGGCTCAAACACCCTTTATCAGGCTCTGGGAAAAGTAAAGATGGTAAAAAGTCCCCATAGGTAGGAAATAGAAAAGATTTTTTTTTTTGCGATTTCCTAGTTGGTCTAATAAAAGGCATCATTTCTGAACCAAGAGTTCTAGATTTTTGCATTTCTGTTCATCTCAGACCAACATGGCTTCCAAATACATCCCCTAAACCTGAGTTAAGGTAAATAGCTCTAAAGCTAAAATAGAAGAGAGACGGGTGATTCCTTTTCTGTAACAGTTAAGGCTTCAGCAGAAGTCCTTGAATGTTACCTTACTGCAGCTATTTTAGCATGTGTAGAGTTGCCCTAACTGCTATCTAACTTATTAGCTGGCCCTGATCTCAGGGAAGACGAGAGTGCTTTGATTGTTGTGCCCAGTCGTTTACATTTACGTCATACTCTTACCCGGTATGATTTTTGATTTTACTGGTTCTTCCATCCCGAATGTTGGAAGCATGAAATTGAAAAACAAAAGTATATTTATTAATTCACTGTGATACAGGCAAAAAAAAAGAAAGAAAGAAAGAAAGAAAAAACAGGGCAGATTTTATTGCTAAGCCTCTGAAGATTTTTTCGGTACCAAAACACAAATGTGAGTTTACACAGGAGATTTCCATCATGCCTCTAAACAAATTTCTTCCAAGCTTTCATGACTTCTCCTTGCCAGTGGATTTGACAACATGACTCTAGATAAATTTGCCATAGGCCCGACGCAGGCAAAGAAAATGAATCAGATTAGCCGTTTGCTTTTTCGCTCCTCTCGGTTGTTTTTCACTGTGTTATTAACAGTGTTAAATGAAAACACTGTGAAAGTCAAAAGACCGCAATGTGGGACAACGGAAAGACATATTTATTCCCAGATGTGAAGGGTAAGACCTTTACAGCTCATCACTGCTTCACACTCTTGAGTTATAGGTCTTGCCTTTTACTGGTATGGCCTGATGATGCATAATCCCTCAGCAACCTATTATATACTTAATCTCTCTTTCGCACTCACCCCATTCTCTGTCAGCACGCACCACTGTGGTACAAATACCCAGTACGGACAAATCTATGGAGGCCTATGATTTCAACATTTTTACAGTGTGCTAATTAACTGCTGTAATTAGAGTGGCAGGCTGTATAGCACGGAGTGAAAATGTGCCAGCTCTTTAGGATTTAAAAGGAACAGAACATTTCATCAGCAAGAAAAGCAGCAACACCCCAGCCTACAGCTTGAGCATCCTTAATGGGGGCTGCGGATGTTTAAAATCTCTCAGGATCAGGCCTTGATGGGCCCGGTCTTTGTTTGCATGCACATACTTCAGAAAAGTAATTAATGCCAAATATTTTGAGAAGCAAGGAAAAAAGAAGAAAAGAGAGACAGCCAAAACTTTACATTTCAAATATGCCTGAAAAGGCATCGTGGCCTGTGTGGAATGGGAATGGGATTAGCCACTAGGCTGCTCCTCAATTTCCTCTTCTCTTATATGAAGGTCGACCACGTTTCTCTCTATTCTCATCCTGGAATGGGTTCGTCTCTCTTCCCTCACAGCAGCTTTCCCTTGCAGGGGATAACAAGTTCTTCGGGGAATAGCAGGAGATGGGGCTACTTAATCTGCCCAACCCCCAGAGCTTCCCCCCCCAGCACTTTACCATGTTTGAGTGAAGGAGTAGTGGCCTCTCCACTATCCCCAGAAGTCTGCTTTATTTCAGACTGGAGATACAGAGGAGCTAGAAGGCTAGCCAAGGCATGGGGAGCAGCATTAACGTGTGCACACATGGGAAATGTGGCAAGAAAGCAGGTGGGTTGGAGGGTCGATGCCTTGGAGGGTTCTCCGATGTCACAACATGCATGAAAATCACCTGAATGGACCGACAATACCTCCCTAGTGGTGTTCAGCAGTTGGCACAGATCTCCCCATACCGAGAACAGGAAAACGTTGCAATATCCTCAACTATAGGAACCCTCGATAAATTGTGACTTTAACGGTTATTGCTGTCGTCCTGTTTCTTGATGTGGTGTTCCAGTCTCTTTCCTCATTCTCCTCCCTCAATATGCTGCTACAAAAACCCTCCAGCCATCCTCATGCTGCAGTGCGAATTATAAAGCCTATGTGAAATCATTCCCACGAATGGCCAGGGTTTTTTTTTCCACAAGGTAGCAATGTGTGTCTAATGAAGCTACTGATGTAACAGAGGAGAAAACTACAACATCTGGGGAAATGGTTTCAGGGCTTGGGCGCTGCAGTATTAACCTTCATCCCATCCTATAATAAGCTGTTCTTTTAATGGCAGGGCTCACCTGGAGTCTGGGCTAGCAGGAGAAAGGCTCCGGTCTTCAGTGACGTTACTTCCACTTGGGAACAAAGAAGAGCGTGCTGGAGGCTCCAGCAACTGTTGGCGCGGGCTGGCTGCGGCTGTGGTACTCGCATGATCACTGAAACAACATAAACCGGGTACGTCAGATCCCTTTGTGTACTGGAGCATCATCCCAAGCAGTTATCTTCTGTCCTTTGCTGGAGTAACCCACTGTCCTTGGGTATTGTGTCAAAGGAAGAAATGGGAGTTTTCCTTTAGTGTTTTGACCCAATTTTGGTCTTTAAGTGAATCATGCATGTTTGAAATGCATTTTTCTAAGTGGCTAGCACAAGGTCATACAGCAACACAGTGCCTGAATCAGGGGCACAGATTCTTGACTCAATATTACTTTTCTTACTTCTGAGAAGACGACCCTGCCACTTGTCTAGGTTATCTACCCTCTCTTGATACCCTCCAGGTTGTCTACCCTCTCTTGAGATCCAAGGGGTACATTAAGCAAACATTTCACAGAAAACATGTTTCGGATCCACCAAAGGTGAAGGGGTGCAGTTTGCACCCCCCTTTGATTCCTGCTCCATCCAAAATTTCAAACTAAGTGCCTGGGAGGGGAAGTGTATTTCTATTCAGATAGTGCTGGGAGAGTCAAGGGACTTCTAAAATCTCCCAGTTTCCTGTTGATCTCTCTCCACTCCATAGGTGTTAATGACCCTCTCTCCTTTTTAATGGTCCTGATGCTTCACTATTCAAACCATTCTTTTTTCTGCAATGTTGCCGTCTGTTAGCCATTTCTGGTAATGTCTGTCTTCTGTTTCATAGCCCTGCAGACTGTTTGTAGCTCTAGCTAAAAACCTGAACTCGAGTGTAGGAACAACAGACAGTAAAGTATTGGAGATGCTCAAGAAAGCTAGATTTTGTTTTATAAATCTGAATAAGAGACATACATTTCACTATAATGGCTACACGAGAAATGATACAATATGCCGTGACTATTTTTTTCCAGTTTGTTGCATTTTTTTAAACCTTATATGTACTCTAGCAAATTAGTGCACATCCCAATCGCTATATTTGTTTTTTGCTTTGATCTTAAACTGGTAACACAGTGCTAGCCCTCAACCATATTAGTAAAGCTTCCAGTTTCGGTTTACCTGGATAAATTGTGTGTTGTGTTATATGTGATGATGTGCCCCACCATCTACATTCCCTTCTTCAAAATCCTAGATCCGGCCATGTTTTTATATTTATTAAGGGTGGGATTTTCAAAATCACTTAAGTGACTCTGGAGCACAAATCCCATTGGAAATCACTTAAGAGCTTTCAAAAATCTCACCCTATTGCATTATTCTTTGGATCACCTCGCCACCTGAATTAAGTTCCTACTTCACATCTTCCAAAGCAGCCACACACAATAACTTTAAAAAATCCATTGCAACCTAAATGTCGGCACAACTTTCTACACAGATAGTAATCACAGTATGAAAAGCAAATCATCTCAAAGACCACACCTAGATTTCAAACTTAAGAAGAGTCTGTCTTAAAATGTTTGGCTTAAAATTAAGATTCAGTTCTTCCAAAAAAAACCTGTCCTCTGAACAGATACAGCCCTCATTTTGCTGATAAACCCCAATTGAGCTCCGAAGGAATCTATTTCCTTTAAGGGTTATAAACCCTTATAATCTGCACGTCTGCTCATTCTTTAACTTCTCTGCTATGATTACCAATAATGGTTCCTGTTGCAGAAGTGGATTGTGGATGCTTTTCCCTTAGGAATCAGAAATGCTAAAATCACAAAAGATCTTGTGGGCCAACTCAGCCACCTCTATACACGCAGGACTGTCCTCTCTTTTATGCCTTTTTTGTGCTTTGTTCCAGTTACTTAAAATGTCTCGATGATGGGATTTTCACAATCCTTCTTGGGAAGCTGTCCCATAGCCCAGCACAGAGGTTCCCAACCACTGGGCCGCAGCCCAGTACCAGGCCACAAAGGGTTGGTGGCTGGTCTGCAGTATAAAAAAAGCTGGGAACCACCGAGGGAGCACATCTCATTGCAACCAGGATTTTTTGACCATCCATCTTTGCACATTCCTTTTAATTTCACCCAATTATTTCTGTTCATAAACAAATTTCCTTTAAAGTGAGACTACAGGTTGCTATTGCTTAGACCATCAAATAGCTGCCAGTTGGTAATGGTTTTCCTCATTAGTGGCCCAGACAAAATCTGAACCAATTAAATTGAGAAGAAAGGGTCCTTATCGCATTAAGAGCCCTCAGAGCAGCTAGAGGGCTCTCAGTGTAAATAGACTCAGTGTAATGGAATTTAAAAAATTTCCCTAACAAATCTCTTGGCTCAATATACAACACCGAAACATGCCGCTTGACAGTGGAAGTTACAGAAGTCAGAAACAGAAAGCTGAGAAGAGGATTCATCATGCATGACTTCAGATGGAAGGTCACAACTCTGAGGACTCCTCCACTACAGGGAAATGGACTCTGAACCCTGAAATGAAGGCTTTGATTCAGAATCAGCGACCCATTCGCAGAAGCAACACCTCTGCAGACAACAACCAGCCCGTCAATTGAAACGAGCACGTTTTAAAAGGCTTGACAGGGATTTTTTCCTTTCCATGTACCCACCAAGTGCCTTGTGTTTTTTTTTATACTGCCTTGTGAACCTATTCATTTATGTCCAGGGAGTTTATAGTTCTAACCTCACTAGGCTGTTTCAGCTCAAAGAAGAAGGAAAAAATCAGCTAAGATAAATTACACCCTTTGAAAAGGATATATGTGGATCTGGGACACAGTCACTGCCTCTGTAATCCTGTTGCCAAAATGGGCACAAAAGAATGCTTCTAACACACACACACACACACACATATATACATACACATTATATATACACATATATCTCAAACACAAAAGCCTGCAAATAGCATACATGACCCCATGCGTGGAACTCGCATGGCCGGGGCAACAGTAATACAAGCGTAAGAGGGTGCATCAAGAATGCTACGTTCAAATGCATGATATGATCATATCCCTGCACACTTCCAAGCCCTGCCTGTAAGAGGCTGCAGTAGTAAAACTGCAAAGCATGCGGATGCTCTCAGATAGAGGGAACTCGGGATGATGGAATTAGCCGTCACGCTCTGCAGTTCTCCTTTTGCCATGCCCCCTCTTGCTTAATTGTAAATCCATTGATAGCACCTGACAAGGTAGGCTGTTGCCTATGAATGCTTATACAATTCTGAACAAGTTAGTCACCAAGGGCACTTATACACATGATGGACCTTTGCTCTGATGCGTGCTAATTGGCACACGTTGGAGCAGACTTGATTAACCGAGTCTGCTGGAGTGTGCTAAACACTGCGCTCCAGCAGCTTCCATGTCACATGTATTCAGGGTCCTGGCGGTTCAAAATGGCAGCAGGGGTGCTTTAACTAAAGCTCATTGAATGAGCTTTAGTTAAAGCGCCCCCACAGCTATTTTGAACCACAGGATGCTGAATACATGTGATACTGCAGGTGCTTTCATTAGAGTGGCTCTGAGAGCCCCCCTTCCACCACTTTGGTGCCAGCCTGGTCTGACTTCAGGCTAACATGGCTAACTACCTCTTTGCTCGTTTATATAAGCAGGGATAAGAATCTGGTCCCATATGGAGCATTCAGATTAAATTAACAAGCTGTTTATTACATTACGGCAGCGATGTAACGAGGGCAGGGAGAACAGGGCAGCTGCCCTGGTGACCAACTTGGGGGAAGAGTGGGCAAAAACGGCTGCTACCATAGCGGTACGGTTGCTTTGCCCCTGTGTGTGGCAGCTGTCCAGGATGCCGGCTTCATCGTTACACTTCTTGCTTATGCCCTGAACGTAATGAAGACCTCAGTTCAGCCTCAATCACACAGGGACAAGTGATGTTATTTCGATGTCAAACCACCTAGTAAGCCCGCCACAGACTCTACTGGGCACCTAAACATCAAACCAATTCTAATTACACCTGTACATGTCTGCAGACACAAAATAAAGAGGCCAGATGTTTAAAACAAATCTGCATTTAAAATCTAAGTGTATGCAATAATCTCTTTGGGGGCTTGCAATAAATAAAACAGATATCATTTTCTGGCATCACTTTAAAAATCGATTTAACTACTCTGACTTAAATCCAACCATTCTTGATTTACTGATCCAAGATCTGAAAGGATCTTTAACTGCAGTATGTTATGGACTTGGTAAAGAACATCTGGGTGCTAAATACTGGTATTTTATGTAGTAAATGGTCTGTATATTTAACAGCTAAATGGTTGTTCTGTTTAACAACAACTATATGTTATACATAGTTATTTACTTGTCCTCAGTGGAACAAAGTTTTGCTCCCCACCAATTTCAGCAACATGGCTGTGGTCTCTCTTTTTGCATTTCCAAAAAAACCATTAGTATTTTTTTGACATTTTTCTTTCTTTGTCTATTTGCAACCTTGGTTATGTCAGCACAGTTCCAGCAATTATGTTTCTCTCAGTAAATGCTGCTTCACTGGCAGAAAAGGGAACAGATCTTTTTCTAGGTCTTACAAAACCAGGAATTCTCCTTTGCTTGGCAACAGAGGAATTGAACACACAGGATAGTGTTTCTCATTGTTTAAATTAAAGTAAACAATTGATGGGAGCAATGGAGATGTGATTAAAATGAGGGTAGAGATCAAGGAAAATAATATAATTGGATTTGAAATATATGCAACTTAATAACCAAGTAAATAAGTGTTCAAAGAAAATAAAATGTGGGAAAAAAATACTGCAAGACTGGGAAACTTAACAGGAAGGAGCAAGCAATTCTGCTGAAAAAGACCTGGGGGTGACAGTAAACGGGAGGTCTGACTTGGATTTGTAATGCAATATGATAGGACAAAAAGCCAATGCAATTTCAGGCTGAGTGTGCAAGGGCAATAAGACCCAGAGCATGGATAACTTTCGTTACAGCTGCACTTGGAAGACTGCAGTCAATTCTGGCACCTAATTAACAGACTGGAACATATTTATAGCAAAATAATAACATTTACTAGGAGGCTATGGGGATAGGTTTATTAGGAAAGATAAAAAGAAATGAATCTATAAGCCCTGGCTAATGGAGGGTAAGGGCATGGGAAAAGTTTACATTTCAGACCTGTATGCAGAATCATTCTTCTGGATGGTGCAACTGGTATAAGTTTGCATTAATGGAGTGAAACTGATGGAGATATCATCATTTCTTGCATACAACATCTTCCAGAATAAAATGTGCAACTTGTTTTTGAAAGGCAAAATGGATTTTAAAAGTTCTTTCCTTGTAGCAACGAATAGTAGCAACAACTAGGGAGCCAAGTCTGCCCATTGTTCCACTCCCTGCAAGTCTTGTGCAGATTTTACTTTCACTGTTGTCTAGTTACTGGAAGAAACTGCTTTTACCATATTTTCTGCATATAATGCACATTGCAGTTTCCAGCAACTGTTTGGGTGGGCAAGGTTTGGGAAAAGCGTGCACTGTTTGTGAGTAAATAAGGTAATACAGTTCACATCAAGATAATTTGCCTGAGATGGAGATATATCAGCGTATGGAAAAGCCTCTAAAGAGAAAGCTGATCAGATGGGACATTTAAGAACATTATGTTTACTACTGCACCATCCAGTCTATAAGAAAAAACCAGGCACTAGCCATTTGTGTGGACTAAATGACCTATGGGTCTCTTCTTTATATAATATTTATGATTTCAGGATTCATTTTCCATCTCTCAGAGTCTGCTGTTCTATAATGGTTATATTTATGGCATTGCCTGAGTTCACTCCCTGTATCACCGTGTGGAATGGGGTGTTGGCTCTTGCATCTAATTTTGTTTTTCCCCACTGAGTGAAGATGTCCCTCGAGGCCTGGTAATTGCAAATACTGATTGGGGGTGACAGGAGATTCTTTCACCTGCTTGACAGCTCTGCCAAAACAAAGTCTGATTTTAACTCCAAAATCAGATTCCTCAGGATGAGAGGCACGGTGAAATAAGGGGTGCAAACAGTAAGGAACTAAGACAGGTCTTAGATTAACTGTTCGTTCAGGTCTCTCTAGGATAAACAAAAAACCAAACCAGAAATGATCAGGCAGGCAACAAAATAAAAATAAAATAAGTTGGTTTCAAACTTTTTTCTAGCATAATTGACCTCAAGCAGAACTGGGGTGGAAAACAAAATCCCTTCTTCCTTTTATTCAAGATGCTAAAGGAACTTTTCTCAGGACACAGAACTGAATAATGCATCAGTATTAGCAACTTTGGTTTATTTACTTATTTTTTTTAAATCTCCAAAAGGCCATGAAATTTATAATCACAAGCTGTCAGGAGCCAAACATGATTCCTCCTGTTCCCACCCTGTCAAAATAAAAATGCCACATAGCTTAAAAATATACCCTGCTTTGAGTGGAAGGAAGACTACTAAACTGTCTGCAATGACGGCGGCAATGGTCTTAATATTAGCAGTTTTAGAACACATGAATAATGCAGTGACATTGAAAGAAGGGAAATTCAGGTCAAATATCAAAAAAAATATATATATTTTTTTGCAGTAGATACATTAGAGTTGTCTATGGCAAGTAGTGATGGATGCACCATGCTTTGAGATTTTTTCATCCAGTAGATTCCAAAGGATTAGCTTAGGAGGGCTTGAGATGGATGCCTCAATTGTTCTTTAGTCTCCACTTTCTTTAAATACCAATGAGTTTCTAGCCATTACAACCACAAGCAAATTACTATACCTGATGCCTGTGTCTGCAGTGAGCCTTCACCAATGGTGAAGCCTCGCCTGGAATGCTGTGTGCGAGTCTTACACTTCAAGAAAGATGTGGACAGATTGGAAATAGTCCAGCACAGTGACATAAATGATTAGAGGCCTGGGAAACATGACTTCTGAGGAAAGGCTGAAAGAATTAGGGTTTTTTTTTTAGTTTGGAGGAGAGAAATTTGAAGGGGGATTTTATAAGTCTTCCAATACCTGAAGGCCTATATAAAGAGGCTGGAGATAGACTTTTCTTTGGGGCTATAATGGACAGGACTAGGAGAAATGGCCTCAAAATGCAGCAGAGAAAATTTAGGTTGGAGATTAGGAGGGATTTTCTGACTATGAGGGTAGTCAAGCATTGGAATAGGTTGCTTAGAGAAAATGTGAAATCCTCATCCCTGAAAATTTCCAAAAGCAGGTTAGACAGACACTTGGTTGTGATGGTTTAAGTCAAGGGATGATCCTACCTTCAGCAGGGAGCTGGACTGGATAAACTCATGTGGTCACTTCCAGCCCTAATTTGTAGGGCTTTTAATAGCGCATGTAGGTTGTAGGTTTGTAATGGTTGGCTTGCCAGCAGGTAGGGGCTAAACTGGTTTCGTTTTCCCAGGAAGAAAGGCAGTGGAGCTCAGCTTTCAGAAGCTTGTGAAACTGCTTCAAACTGACATATCCACTGGAAAATATGCTGTAGGAAACCATCCTCTTCTGACAAGGACATGACCTCATTGATCTTTTTCACCGACTCAAGGTTCCCCATCTTGGGGCCACTTCATGCACGTTCATAAATCCACAACATGTTACTTGTTAGTTGCCTACTCTCATGTTTTAATTAATCTGGGACGACTGCAGCTCCCCTGTTAGAAGGCAAATGGTCTTCTTGTGAACGATATAATTGTAGGGTTAGATTTAAATGCCTCAGGGAGAAGAACTATCTGTGGGACTTTGTGACGATTTCTAACCATTCATCCTGAGGCTGCAATGGCAAAGTAGTCAAAGGTGAGGATTCACCTCTTTGGCTAGAGTACTTCATTGAAGTAACTTCCAACGTTACCTTTGAAACAGCTGGGCGTATGCACTGGGAGCCTTCCCGTTCAGAGCCCGATGTGCTGCTTCACGTCGCCGTTGCAGAGAAGCTTCTTCCTGAACAAGAAATGTAATCAACTGTAACTTAAACATAGGTGGTTGTCACTATATGCAGCATAAAATAAGTGACTGTGCCATTCCTCTCTCCAGCGAAAACTCTAGTGTACAGGCTTATCTATGCTGGGAAACAGATTTGTGTTATGACATGGTGTAGTTAATGAGGGGTTAAATATAGCTCAGCTTTCAGTCTGGAGTTACATCTTATTTTAACCTGTCCTTGTTTACTATGACACTGATTCTGTATGATGTCTAAGCTGAAGGGTGATAGCAAAGAGCCAGCCATGACTCCCTAATTTTGGGCTGCTGATGCAAATTAGAGGAGGAAAAAAACAGCTAAGATGTACACTAATGACTGAGCAAAGCAGAGCTGAACTGTGTCCCACCCCAGAACACTTCCTTTAACTTCTTATGCCCCAGGTAGGGAAGTGATGGGTGAAGAAGGTAACAAGTCCAGTTCTCCCAACTCTATGTCAACTCAAGTTTGTTTCTGTAAGCTTACCCTTGGCCCACCAGGTTTGTCTGCCCTGGGAAAATGCATTGTGCTGTATAACTTTATTAAATATAGACTGGACATAAGGAAAAACTTCTTTACCATCCGAGTCTCTACAGTCTGGAATGGACTCCCCCCCAAGAAGTGATGCAAGCACCTACTCTGACATGTTCACGTTGCATTTGGATGCTTAACTTGCTGGGGTGATCTGACCCTAGCTGACGTCCTGCCCCTTTGGGCAGGGGGCTGAACCCGATGATTTTGCAAGGTCCCTTCCAGCCCTAATGTCTATGAAATCTATGATATGTCTTTCTTCAGAAGAAATGCTCTTCTGGGACTCTCCAGCCAGTTAAGGACACCTTTCACACCTGGGCCTCAGCAGATCAAATCATTTGGTCCTAAGTATTTAATAAAGTGATACAGCACAATGCATTTTCCCAGTACAGACAAACCCAGTGGGCAACAGTAAGCGTACAAAACCAGGCAAACCAAAAGCTCATTGCATCATGATATTACCACATAGCAAAGTCTGTTTAAATTAAATTGGACAGCCAGAAAAACATCTTTACCGTTAGAAAAGTGAGGCAGTGGAATAGATGCCCAGGGAAGCTGTAGACCAATAGCACCTCCAGCTCTGGCTAATGTTTCTGTAATTCTCCTGCCCTAGCATCTGCAAGACCCAGCGGTGTGGCCCAAAAGCCACCCAGCAGGCATCCTACAGATGTCCAAGGGGCTGAGAAGCCTGTGAAAACTGAGAGGAGAAAATTCATAGGCAGGAAAATCTTACTTCTCCTTTTCATAAGCTGTAAAATGCTGGGCTGTGTTGGATACAGCCAAATCTTAGGATTTTTATTGGGGTGTGGCAATGCTCCTGCTGGGACTTGGAGGCTCCTGGATAGACAGTTCTTCCCTCCACTCAGAGTCAGACCAAACTGCCACATTTGGGGTCAGGAAGGAATTTTACCCCATGATCAGACTGGTATGGACATGGGGGATTAGACTGGTATGGACATGGGGGTTTTTACCTTCCTCTATACTGGGGGGCATGGCCCTCTACTTTGGATCTCTTACGCACATTTCAACAACCTTTACAGAAGCAGAACATCGGCTATGCTCCCCCTGCTTTACTTGGGACAGGTTAGTGTGTTATGTCTTGTGTTGTGTCTGGGTTGACTGAGTAGTTTTGCTAAGAGGTTCAACGATGGATTTGTGTAGGGTGGTTTGGATAGGGACGATCCTGCCTCAAGCAGGGGGTCGGACTAGATGACCTCTGGAGGTCCCTTCCAGCCCAACTTCTCTAGGCTTCTCTGTGATACATCTTTGTTTGGTGTGATTCTGGTATCACAGGACCTGGACCCATAATAATTTGGTGGTCCTGCGTAACTTCCACCACATGACAAACCAGCACTGCAGATGGTAGAAAATGAACAGCAAAACCAACACAACTCAGGCCACATCGTTGAAGCTATCCACCACCTGGCCCTTGGTGAATACTCTACTGTGGCTACTCCTGCAGCATAAAGCCTCTATTTTGTAAAGATGCAATTCTGCCTGGTTGTTGTGTGGAGTATGTATCGACTTACTACTGCCTTGCACCTAGCGTAGTTAATTATGCCCACAAAAAACTAAAGCAATGCTCCTTATTCCTGCTCCAAGGTCTCTGACTAGCAGGACTTGCCACTGATTGTCAATGCCAGTCATGTTATGCTCTCTTTTTGCCTTTCCACACTGTGGAAAGCAGCTGTGGCAGCAATGCCTTGTGCTTTTAGCAGCCAAAACTGCAGGTCTCCTTTCTACTCCCAAATGCAACAACTTAAGAGAGAACATTATTTCAAAATCATACAGAGATTTATACCCTTAATATTAAAAATGATCAGAGATGCGTTTGTGCTTCACCTTGAAGTATTTATAGATCGACACTCCAGCTGGTGCCCCAGGACTTCATCATACACATGAAAAAATATGTTGGGCACTTAGGGTAGTAAATAACCAAAAAGACATTACTAGCATCAGACAAGGAAACTAATATGGAAGAGAGCCTTTCAACCACCAAGTAACTTGAGACCAGGTTAAATTATAGCCACTTTCATTGTAAAACACTTTTTCTCTGGCTTGACAAAACGTAAACTGTCAAAAAAAAAAAGATGAAGTAAAGAGAAAAGAAAATAAATTGCTGTGATATGGGTGATGGTGGAGAGCCCCTGAGGTGAGAGAAACACTGGCTTCTCCCTCACCTCAAGGTAAGGTACGTTTTGATGAAAAAAACTCTAAAAAGAATGACATCCTTGACACTTAGTTAATTGTACATGGCTGGAGAGGAAGGACTGTGTTTTTGAAGATGGAGGGCTCCCTATCCGTGTACTGCATTTTACAGTCGCACCTTTCTTACTGCTAAACCTTTAAGCTTTGATACCCAGGTGGTTTTCTGTTTCTCAGCTCCATCCTGAGATGGAGGCAGAGGCAGAGGCAGGTGGCTATAAATACAGAGATAGTGACAACACTGTACAGCAAGCCATGCCTGCCCAGCCATCATTCATCATTATGACATTATAACCAAATGGAACATCTTTTAAAGCTTCTATTCTTTTTTTTTTAATTCTTTCTTGCCATTATCATTAAACTGGAGCATTAGACATATCTGCTTCCTAACACCAGCCCCATCACGGTCTGCAGGAAGAGCAAATGAGTATATGAGTATCTGCTTTTGGAGAAAAAACTAAAAAGAAAAAAAAAAGACAGAGCCAAAGTTGCACAAGACTATTTGGAGTTGAAGGATGTTGGTGAATCTACAGATTGAAAAGCAGAAGGGGGGACCCCAAAAGTAGCAGAGAAATGTGCCTAGATTTAATCCTGAAATGAATCAGCATCAATTCCCAGCCACCACAGTTGAAGTGCTTTGCCACTTCCTTTCCTTTCCTTTCTTGTCTCCTTGTGACAAGGTAGTTAGCAGAATTTGCAGGTTCATTGGAATATGACAGGGCCGCACTGCGAGAGCTTCTGCTATGGCCTGTTTTGCCACTGGCTTTAATGGAAGGAGGATCTCACTCGTAAGTAGCTCCTGATAAGCTGTGTTTATCCGACAGATTATGGTAAGTTTGTCATGCAGGCAGCTCCCTTGCCCCTCACTGAAACTCATCCATTTTTTAAGATGAATGAGATGATTCCTGTTCATTCTTGCAAGAGCACAGGCTGTCTGACTCAGTCAGGCCATCTGCTCCCTACCCCATTCATCCCTTTTAGCTGATAGTGCTCAGCCCATTTTCTTTAACATGCCTTTGTTATCTTGATTCTGAGCAACTTGCTGCTGGAAAAATATTGACAAAGGAGTTGAGGAACTGCAATAAAAATGATCTGGGAAGAAGCATGCCAATTTGGTCTATCGCTTAGTGCTCAATAATGCATAGGTTGGCATTCTTCCCTTACCACTGGCGTTTTCTGTGCGGAGAGGTGAGCTGAGATCCTAGCAGCAGAGTTTCTGGCTGATGAGCTCAAGAATTCACCCAGGGCAGAAGGATGGGCTAGTTTAGTAGTCTCTCCACCAGTTGGCGTTCTGTGATCTCCAGTGGATGGTGTTCTAGCACCTAGCAGGGAACAGGTATTATCATGCACACATAAGACCCCTTCCCATAAACACCATTTACCACAAGCTGAAAGTCACAGCTGCTATCAGAGCTTTTCTTTCAGAATGAAAATCTAAATGATAAAAATGTGAGAGGTGAGTATTTTTTTGTAGCTGCTCTCTCTTATTGAACCAACTGTATAGTTAGAAAGGACACAGACAAGCTTTTGGGTACCACATACCCTTCCTTGTTGCTGAGAAAAAAAGCAAACACAGCTTAAGCTATATAGCAGACAGAACAAAAGCCTGTGCAAAACCTCACATGTAAATGGAAGCAGGATATAAGAGACATTATCAGGTAGCTAACAGACAAGAGAAATGCAGCAGAAAGGATAACCTAACAAGTGGAAGAGCAACCTTTCGAGAGGGATGTTATCACTTGTGGAGTGCAAAGAAATAAGCAGAGATCAGGTAAATTATAATGGGCCATGGAGTCAAAGTCTGTGTTAAGTCCCTGGGTTTTTTTGTATCCAGTAAGCTAATGATTTTTTGTTTCCCATCTTTTGAAGGTGTTCTGGATATTTCTCTTGAGCATGAGAACTGTAAGGTCAGAAAAAGAGGTATTTTTCTGTGAAAAATGTTCATCTACTTGCATTCTAGTTTCTGTCCTTCATCTTTTTTCTGAGGTCATTCTTTCCAATCTAATGTGATCGTTAGGTTGAGTAATAAATGGGATTCATGTGTGTTACTTTGTTCAGGTACTCAGCTATTGAATACTGCTACCATTAAATTATTTAGACTATTGTAACATCTTACATTTGATAAAATCTAGTGGGGAATTAGGAGGTAGTGCTTTTGCTCCTGCAAATAGAGTCTGCACCTGAATTTTTGTGCAGCATTAGTCAGTGATGAGGACAAATCTGAGTGTTTGCACCTTCTCCTGGTTTGCCGGCTGTCAAGATCAGGGAGGTTGAGACTCGGCCTAGCCCAAAAGTTACCCACAAATAACAACTTAGACTTCAAAGACAGCTCTTATGAATAGTTATATTAAGGTAGCAGGCAGAAAGCCCAACCAGAAGAAGGACCCCAATCTGCTATAGAGAAAGACAGATCTCTGAAAGAACTTACAATGTAAAAGACACTTGATGGGTGGAGAAAAGGGAGGCAAATATATGCAATCTTCAACATATTCAAATTTTGAATAGGTACCTTCCTCAAAAACGCCCATTGGGCCACAGGTATGTGAACAGTATATCCCAAGAAAACAATGAAGAAAAAAAGGTCCGATCACATGATCCAACTCTTAACTGAATGTAAATCAACTGACCCATGACATTTTACTCCTGGGACATGGCAGATTCTTCCCAGGACAGCTGTTCATTTGTGTGCTGCTGCCCTGAAGCAACCACCTCCAGGCTTTTGCTTTGAGGTTTCCAGTACTGAGGCAACTCCTTCACATAAGTATAGTATCACCCTAGCCATGATATGCCACCAGTTTGTAGATGCTACGCTGTTTAGTGATGAGAAGTGAAGAGGTGAAAGTTAAGCCTCTTAGGACGCTATTCCAGGTGCCGCATATCATTCACTTTGCAGCCTTGGGTGAGACACCGAGCCTTATTCTCAGAGATGCTGAATACTTATGACTCTCCCTCAATTTCCCTGAGTTATGGGTGCTCAGCATCGCAGATAACCCCAATGTTTTACACTACCCTCCATCTCCCTATCTATAAAATGTGGATAGTAATATGTACTTCACAGAAGTCTTGCAAGACTTAATTAACAGTTGTAAAACACAGAGAACCTGGGATGAAAGCTGCTATGCAAGTACAAGGCATTAACATCAGTTTATAATAATGCATTATATTTCTTCTATAAAAAGTTTTGAAAAAGAGGAGCTTATCTGTTTTCTCCCAGTGTCTTTACTCTCTATGTGAACAAAAAGATCTTGCACAGCAGTTCATTAAAAAAAGAATTAACAGCCTATCATAATATCACACAACCAATCTTCCCCTGCTACTATCTTACTCAAAATGTCCATATTAAAGTCAACCTTGAGGCAACTTTTTTTAAAATAAATTATTTCACGCAGTCCATAAGATGAGAGACACTCTCTGGAAATAGGATAGTTAAATTTATTTAAACACCTATAAATGAAGCTCTAAATGAATTTAATAGCATGTAGTAAATTTGAAAGTTACTTTATAGATAGCAGAACTGCCAAAACCCAGGCTAATGAAGTTTCTGGAGCCAGCAATGAACCACATAATTGATAGAACTCCAAAATGTTAAGGAATATTAAGGTAGTCCCTAGAAGGAACTTCAGATGCTTTATATCAGAAACTGAAGCCAAGAAGAAGATCCAAGAAATCAAAAACAAATTGTGAGAAGAGAAGGCGAAAGAAATCCAACAATTTGCTGACAATCATGACATGTGGAGCTTCTGAGGTCCCTTCCGACCCTAACATCTACGGATCTATACCCTGACTCTCCATCAGGTTAAACAGTGTACTCCTCCCAAGCAGCATTCTCCTGAGTGATCTCCCATAAAAAGCAACCAGAAAGAGGACTGTCATGGATTTGGGCAAAGTTTTGCTGGTACAGCCATCAGCAAGTGGATGTGACCTTTTCACACCCCTAGCCAATGCAGTTCCACCAGAAAAATCAATGTTATGGGTGCAGTCGTGCTGACAGAAGAAGGCTTCTACTGACTAGCTTCTTTCATTTGGGGAGGCAGTGTAACAAAGGAAGGACAAACCCCACTTCTGTGGCCATATGGCATATCTCTACTATAGGGTTCTGCTGAGGTTCATAACCCCAGGAAAAGGGCAGCCAAGAAACCATGTAAAGCTTCAGACTAGCAATCCTAATGCTTCTTCTCTCACAGACGGAGCCCTCCCCAGCCATTATTAACTCTAGAAACCAGTGGGTGTCAGCTCTGGAACGTCACGTACTGTACCTCTTATGGATCTGCTGTCCAAGTACAGATTGCCATCAGAGAACGAAGGTTGCTCCAAACCTAGATACTCCTTTATAATGAGGCTCAGTTTTGTGTATGCCTCGTCAAGATCATCTGCAAAAAAAATAAAATAAAATAAATTAGCATTTCAAGGAGGGAAGAAAAGGATACCTAAGAGGATAACCATTGTGCACCCTCTAAAGTTACAGAATCAGAGAGGCCATTTGTAGCCTATCCTGTGCCATATGTTCTCTAATAAACTATCTCCAAAAAATCTTGTCCCCGTGTGACAAGACTTCCCTTGCTTCTCCTGGGAGACTAAACTACAGCCAAACATACCTGTGAATAAAAACCTTTCCCAAAATTCAGCCTATAGTCTAAATTCTTATATTCTTCCTAAATGCTCCCCTTCTCAAACTTTATTTCTGAGGAACTACACTAAGAAGTAAGCTCCATGTATCCTTGACAATAATTAAAAATAAACACTAACATTTAACGTGACCATCCATTTAATCTAAACCTCAATACCTCCCCAAACAATGGCCATGCAAAAAAGTAATTTGGAAAAAAATCTCTGTCCTAAAACCCTTTCTCATAATTTTCCCTCACTCCCTAAAAATCCTGGGGAAAACATCAGCATCACAGAATGCCCTGGAGATCAGCAGATTCAATTATTTTAGACCAAGACGCTGAGCAAGTTATGAAGCAGAAGAACCATTGCAAAGAATGTCTTTGCAGCAGCATCCTTGCCTCATCTGCACCTGTTGACCTCAAATGGTACCAGTATGAAATAAGGATAAAGAGCCGACACATTCAGAGCCTATCAGGCAAAAAAAAGAAAAACACCCACTGTTCTCAGCTAAGTTCAGAAACCAATACAGAAGCTAGGACAAAACACAGAATAGCAACATCATAGCCTCAGCTGGCACAATTTAGTTGAGCTACTGTACTGCTGATTTCTGCACCAGGTTCAGCGTCTGGATGGATTTAGGATGTAGTTAGAGCACAGTACAGTTAATATTGAGGTGACACAGACAGGGACCTGCAACTCTTTTTGACCCCAGGATAAAAAGTAGCTGGGTTGCTGTGTTTAGCTTTGGTGTATTCAATCTTGCTGTGCTTAACAATTTTCCTCTTTTTTTTTTTGCTTCACAGACAGCTTCGTCTGCCGGGCAGTTTTATTGCTTCCATTGTCCTCACGCTGGGGTGGCAATCAGATTTGTGGCACAGACGAAACGGACTCACCCGTGTCAATTATTGCATCAAAATATCCTGGAGAATCCTGATTTATTTTGATATACATGTCCACTCTGGTGATGGCCTCCTCAATCTCTGGCCGGCTGAATATCCCTTTCCTCCGCAGATGTCCCTCATATCTCTCTTTATTCATTGGTACGAGCAGGATATATCGCGGTTCAAAGTAGGAATTTTTCAAGCTTCGCACAGCCTTGAAGAACAAAAAGAAAGCACTCACTGCTTTATTTCTGAAGCTTGGTGCCTATCAGTGCTGGGTTCATGTTGTCCCTGTATTTATAACAAACCTTCACTTATACTAAGGTTGGAAAGGTATTCCACAATTTTAAAGAGATGGGACCAAGTTTGTCTCTTTTGTAAGGTATCCAGGTTGTAGCCATACCAGTCACCACCAAAAGAAACTCCTGCCTGGAAAAGCTTTGCATCTTTCCACTCTTCTGTGAAATACAAAACATCATAACCTGGAGGAAATATACTTCTACATCCTGCTTGCCATCAGACAACTTTGAGGTAAAAAGACTTTTTCAACCTTTCTCTGGGCCTAACCTGGGCAAAATGAACTATTCCAAACAGGAGACTTTACCACACCTTTAGCTCTCTTGTGAAATATGAATTTTCATTTCTACCTAGGAGAATTTTTACAAGCTCTGCTCTCTCCTATGCCTGATGAAGGGAGAGCATATCCAAAAGCTTGCAAATAAATAATTTGCTTGCAAATATCTAGTTGGTCTAATAAAAGATATCACACCTCTTCCACAAGTTTTGATCTGTTCTGTAAAGCACTTTAAGATCTACTGATGAAAACTGCTACCTAACAGCTAGGGACTGCAGAAGCATCATAAGCTCATACGTCAGAGTCGGAGGGGCGCAGGGGTACGCTGGCTACTGTAGACCAGGGGAAGGGAGGGACACATGTGGGTGAGGAAAAGGGAAGGCTTACCTTCCTGGGCTACTGCTGCCACTGCTGTAGGATCAACTCCACATCAGTGGTAGCAGCCATGTGGAATGGCCAGGCTCCCTAAGAGTGGACTCTGGTGCCCCCCTCCACATATATTTGGTGCAGGGCTCTACCTGCTTTGACAAAGACTGGAGAGGGGTGGAGGAGCACCATTCCACTTGCTCCACTTGTCCCCCGCACCCAGGTACACTGTTTGGTGTGGCACTGCCTTGCCCAACTCCTATGGCAGAGGGGGAATGAGGGCCCGAGTGCCCCTCACAGTCATTGCCAGGGCAGGTGCTCTGCTTGCCTTGCCGTAGCTATGCTACTGAGATATTGTTATAATGGTTATCATTACATGAGTATGACTCTCAGGGAAGCCTCCTGGTCCAACTCAGTAGTAATTTAAAGCAGAGCCATGCAACCTTTGAGGGGCCAGGGCTGCAGGCCCCCAAGGCACACACTGCACTAGGCTGCCCACCCCACAGGTCACATGTTGTGTGGGCCTCAAGGCCCTGCGGCTGCATCACGTGGGCCCCACTGTGCTGCGTGGACATGACAACCCATTTCATTCTTACACAGTCTGCAACATCTGCTGCACCACACTAGTGCCTCTGTGCCGCACAGGGTCCCCAGCCATGGGCTCCCTCAGCCTTGCAGGCCACACTGTTCCACCTCCAGGGCAGAAGCTAGAGGAGGGAAAGGGAGTCAAGGGTCTCCATCGGTAGCAGAGAGGAGAGCAAAGAAGGAAGTGGCACCTGGACTGGGAGCACCAGGGCTAGAAGTTAATCCCTCAGAGGTCGCATGCACCTGCAGGTTGCCACTTACACGGCCCTGGTTTATATTACCACTTATTTTGGCCCTTGGATTTCTACCAAGAATAAGATCAGAGTTTTCTTCTCAATCAGGATGGTTTCTTAACTGATGCCAAGCAGCACAATTCAGTGCTTAGAGGGTGAATCTTCACTAAGCCATTCCTCTTTGAGGTCACGTATCTGAACAGTATAAAACAGCCTGCAACATTTTTAGAGGATCCTGAAGAATCCAGCAAATATCCAATTACAGATATGCTTTGGGTCAAATTCTGCCCCTCTGCTCCAGGTTTCATGTGGGCTGCTCCCTCTAGGCTACCCAACACAACCTTTGGGTTTATACTGGCAATCACTAGGGTGAATGTCTGATCCTCCAAACTACCTACATGGACCAGTTCACCAGTCAAATCACCCATCTCTTGGGTGGCATATGAGAATGATTAAATTACATCTGTAAAAGAAGCAAGAAAGAAACCGAAGGGAAATATGGGAGGCATTTAGGGAAACAGAACAAAATTACCTAAGTTAGAATTCAGACAGAATGCTAAAAAGTAACTCCATTACCCCCAAAATGTTGAGGTGCTCTTCAGTTACAACCCAGAGATATAAAAGAAGCATGGCCTCAGGGGAGAGGGGCATGGAAACAGGCACAATGAGAAATGCAAAGTGCTGCACCTAGGGAGGAAAAATGCCCAGCACACCTACTGCCTAGGAAATGACCTGCTCGGCAGCACGGAAGTGGAAAGGGATCTTGGAGTCCTAGCGGACTCCAAGATGAACATGAATCGTCAGTGTGACAAAGTCATCAGCAAAGCTAACAGCACTTTATCGTGCATCAGCAGATGCATGACAAACAGAACCAGGGAGGTGATACTTCCCCTCTATCGGACGCTGGTCAGACCGCAGTTGGAGTACTGCATCCAGTTTTGGGCACTGCACTTCAAGAGAGATGTGGACAACCTGGACAGGGTCCAGAGAAGGGCGACTCGCATGGTTAGGGCTTGCAGGCCAAGGAGAAGAGAGACAAGGGCACTTGGACCTCTTCAGCCTCTGTAAGAGAAGGTGGAGAGGTGACCTTGTGGCTGCCTATAAATTCATCATGGGGGCGCAGAAGTGAATTGGTGAGGCTCTACTCACCAAGGCACCCCTGGGGGTCACAAGAAATAATGGCCATAAGCTAGCAGAGAGCAGATTTAGACTGGACATTAGGAGGAACTTCTTCACAGTTAGAGTGGCCAAGGTCTGGAATGGGCTCTCAAGGGAGGTGGTGCTCTGCCCTACCCTAGGGGTCTTCAAAAGGAGGTTGGATAGGCATCTGGTTGGGGTCATCTGAACCCAGCACTCCTTCCTGTCTATGCAGGGGGTCGGACTCGATTATCTATTGAGGTCTCCTCCAACCCTGACATCTATGAATAGAAACAGCAATTTAAAAATTAGGATCATTTCAGACTATCTGAAACCAAGAAGCAGTTTGGTCCCTGTTTGTAGAGTGAAGGGATTAGTAGCAAGTTACTTACAATTCTCTCCTTATTAAAATGTAAGTTACAGGTAGAACAGATGGCACATTTATTTAATAATAATTATGATAAAGCACCAGCTCAATGGCTGCCTTAAATGGGTTGCTGCAAAGCAGTTTTATAATACAAGAAGATGAGATTAAACTCATGAGAAAAGCAATAAGTAGCAGAGCAAAGCAAACTCCTACACTCAATTTGGTGGCAACTTCCCTGTTTATCTCTTTGTCCATCTTGGATGTAAAAGCAGTAACTTTGAACACAATATCCAATCAATTCCAGCATTGCAGGAGCATTGTACGTATTAACTAGCAGAGCCCTATTGATTTTGGTGACCAGTGGAAGGTGGGGGAAGGGGATCAAAGGGTTCTGAATGTTTAGCCAGAGCCCCTGACCCACAGTTAATACTCCCATTAATTTTTACCAGGACTGAATGTACATGTCCACACCAAATGACATGGAAAGGTTGCAATGAGGCATAATTTCAGGCAAAGGAGGGCAAATTTCAACGAGCTAAAGAGGATAGTTGGGGAAGCACTGAGGTCCCGGAGGGGAGGGGAGACAGGTGTCCAAGGAGAGTGGTTGCTCCTCAAGGAGATGATCCTCCAAGCCCAAAGGAAGGTAATCCCAATGAGGATCAAAG